GTGTTGGTGTTCTGCTGTTTGTGGCTCCCTCTCCGGGATGGAGTCAGTGTCCCTCGTTGTATGGTCCTCGCAAGCTTCTTTTCTGTTGGTTTTTCCCGTCGATTTGTCTGTGTTATAGTTGTAATTCCAGTTTGGTTCTGGGAGACGGTCTGTGTAGCTCCATTCACTCCGCCGCCATTTTTCGGTCTCTTTGCAGAGGCATGACTTCACAAGCCATTCTTGTGTATCAGTTTGAGAAGGACCCTCACACTGTCTCTTCCACTCCAAATGCCAAGTTTGGTCGTCTGTACAGTGAGCGTCTTCTTGCAGTGGCTAAGGCGGGCTTGGGGCTGGAGGCTGCACCTCACAGCTGAAGCGACTTGCTCTGCAGTCAGCCTGTGTGTTGCTGCTCTCAGCCTCCAAACTTCTTCAAGCAATGCTATTTTATCGACTGCCTCTCTACCCATCTATTTAATTTTTTTACGGCAATAAAAAAGAAAATTAATTTAACAGCTGGAAAAGTTCCAGATGCTATTCTTTGGAAATGGATGTCTTTTTCTCCCCAACCAGTGGTACATGGATAGCCTCTGTGGAATAGATGTGCCATTCATTAAACATTCCTATAAACAATGAAAACTGTGATTAATAATCAGCAGTGACCAGACACAGTAATGATTACACTCTATTTCCTTTCTTAGATGCTGACTCTATTAAGGAGCTTTGCTAATAACAATGTCTAGATATAGCCAAATACAATTGTAAGGTGGCATCTCTTTCTTATTTTGTACCATCCCTTGTACTAACTCTTAACACTGCAATGATACAAGTAGGGAATGGTGACAAAAAGAGCCTAAAATGTTATTTCCTTAAAATAACCAGAGTTTCTGGGAAAATTGCTAATTAGACCTGTTTACTCAAGGTAAAGTATTCTTCCTAATAATATTGACTATTTACTGGCTATTTAGTGAATAACATATGTTATCTATGAAAACATTAGAACAACTCTGTATAACAAAGCGGGTTTTATTTTCTTCTTATTATTATTTTTTTTCCAGGGAGAAAATGGAGGCATAGTGAACTTACACAACATATACGGGTAAATGAAGAATCTAACAGTGGCGATTGGACTTCAAGGCTAATGCTCTTAAACACTGAACCTTATTAGTCTGTATAAAGATTGAGTTCATGATATTGTGGAAGATGTAGAGGAAAGAGTACTGGCCTGGGAATCAAGAGGCACCACAGCTGCAGTTTACTTATATCCACCAAGTAGTTGTATATCCTCCCAGCTGATCCTGTTTCTTCAAACCAAGACCATTGCTTTTTCCCTCCCCCTTCTTTTACAAAAATGTATCTTTATTGTTGAAAGTATTACAGATGTCCACCCATTTTTTTCTCCCCATTGACACCCTCTTGTCCGCTCCTCCCCACCCAGGCCTTCACCGAACTATTGTCTGTGTCCATGGATTATGCATATATACACATAGTTATTTGGTTAATCTCTTCCCGCCCCCTTCCACCCCCTTTCCTCTGAGATTCCTCAGTCTGTTCTATGCTTCCATGTCTCTGGATCTATTTTGTTCGTCAATTAATTTTGTTCATTATACCACTGCTTTTTAAATATACCTCCTTTATAGAGTTTCCTGAGGATTATGTTTTAATGCTGTAAAATATAACAGCTAAAATTAAATGCCACTTAAGTTTTTTAGAGATTAATTAATGGACAGCCCGAACAAAGTCAAAGCACATTGATATATAAAACATTATAAATGGAACTAATTCACCAATAGTCAAAGTCTAACGAAAACCTGTCTAGATGGATAGTATGTAATTTCTGCACAGGTCTCTGTTTAGTAAATACAGCACTGTATTTACTAAGATACAGTCAGGAATCTTGCTCCAATAAAAGGAACATAAAGATTAAAAAAGATCACAATGGCCCGGACAGTGTGGCTCAGTGGATGAGCATTGACCCATGCACCAAGAGGTCACCGGATCAATTCCCGGTAAGGGCGTATGCCCAGGTTTGCGGGCTCAATCCCCAGTAGGGAGTGTGCAGGAGGCAGCTGATCAGTGTTTCTCTCTCACATCATGTTTTCATCTCTCTCTCCTTTCCTTTCTCATAGAGTAAAATAAGATAAAATTAAATAAAATAAAATGGTATAGACCGATGCATGTTATGAAGAAATCTCCATTACAGTCATTCAGCATTTTGAAGTTACATGTTCAAACTGTATTGTTGTGAAGAGTCAAAAAAATGTCCATGTGGTAATTTATACAGGACAATATTTCTACAGGAAGAACTGGAAATTGCAAACAGTTGATATTCTGAATGAGTCCATAAATAATTTCACATGAAATGTTTAACTGCAAGATGATTGGCCAAGATGCAGACTTTTCTGCAAAGGACTAGAGAGAATATTTTAAGCTTTGTAGGACATACAGTCTCTATTGAAATTCAGCTATGTACTATAGCAACCATATGAAAATGGCCATAGAAAATACATAAACAAATGCGTATGGCTGTAGTCAATAAACCTTTATTTACAAAAATAGGCAGGAGGTCAGATTTGTCCTGTGGGTCATAGCTGACCAACCCTTGTATACCATAACAAATCATGAAGACATGTTCAGGTACTGCATAAGCCATTGGGCAATTTAGCAGATATTAATACATTTATATTTATGTTATTCTTCCTTCTGGTTTTATGCTCACTAAATCTTCATAACGACCCTTTGAGGACTTCAACAATTGACACTGAGATATTCAATAAATGATCTAACGTGTTCTAAACAGATTGAAGGTGAGGTTGATTGAAAAGAGCAAGACCAACCGTGCTAAATATTTGCAGTGCCTGAAACATCTTGTAGTAGTTCAATAACTATTTGATTAATAAATTATTTATAAATATATATTTTTTTCTCCCCTAGGGCATTGTATCCCAATTGATAAGCTCTTTTTAATTTTTATTATACCTTCATCTTCCTCTTTCACTGCATTATTTCCTGTAAATGTGGCCAGACCTCATTTAGTATAAAAGTAGCTTTTCATTATCCTCAGTCTGCAAGGCTATTCCTTTACTTGCTTTTCTCCATACATTTCTTATTGCTCAGTTATTGTTCTATCCTATTCTGTCTGGCAGGCTTCTGTTTCCAGAAGACCCCAAGTGAAGGGCTAACCTCAATTCTCATGTCTTTTCTTTAGTCTTTCTTTTCCTTAATCTCTCTCTTCCGTTGATGACCATTTTACATGACACTGTGCTCTCTGGTTCTCTATGTGTCCCTGACCCTCTTCCCTCTCACAGTCTACCTTTTCTTCTTGCAGATCTTTTTCAAGGTCTCTGCTATTCTTTGCTGCGTTTTTGGTAAAAGTATTATAGATGTCCTGATTTCCCCTCCATTGACCCATAAGGTCTCTATTCTTGATGCTCATTTATTTTATTTTTGTACTTTGTGGTGCAGGGACCTCATCTACTCAAACAGCTTCAACTTTAGCTCTGTTCAATTAATTTCCAAATCTGTATCTTTAGCTTTATTTCTCTTTGTTATAAACCAATATTTTCTATCACTGACTAGATCTCTCAAAACCAACAGGCCCCAAACTAACCCATTGCCTTTCTCTGAAACCATTTCCATTTTTTCCATTTCTGACAATGATACTTTCTAGTTACTAAAATTCAGAATCACAGTTGATTGTCTCAGACTTCTTTCTCTTCTCCAACCCTCCATCCAACTGGTAGCCAGGGCTGGTTGAGTCTACCTCTAAAATGTTCATCTCAAACATCTCCTTGCTCCCTTTCCATTCTCACTGTTTCTTCTACAATTCACGGCTCTGTCATCCCAGTGTTCTTCTAACTTGTCTCTTCTTTTATTATTTATTTTTCATAACTCTACTCATGAATCTTCACCCACTATAGCCCAGCATATGTCAATATCTTGGTCAACATTATTCTTAGACTCCTGGTTAATAAAAATTAAGTTCAAGCTATTTAGAATGACATTCAAAAGTCTCCATAAATATTGATTCAATCTATCATTCCAACTTTCTCTCTTACAATAAAACTTTAAAACATACCCAAGATTATTTACTGTTATTTTAGAACAATCAGCCACTTTTATCCTTTTCCTGTTACTGTTCCTTTACTGGAACAATAATTGATTATTTGCCATTGTTTTTCTCTAAAATAATATCCATTGTTTTTGGTGCAATGTCTGACATTATAGTCAGAAGAAATCTCTCCCTTTCCCTTTTTTAAAATTTTTTTTATCCTCACCCGAGGACATTTTTCCATTTTTTACTCAGATAGAGCAGGAAGGAGAGAGAGGAAGAGAGAGAAACATCGACATGAAAGGGACACATCGAGTGGCCGCCACCCACACCAACCAACCAAGGCCGGGGACAAACTGCAGCCAAGGTACATACCCTTAGCAGGAACTGAACCCGGGTCTCCGTGGACCGCAGGCCGACGCTCTAACCGCTGAGCCAAACCGGCCAGGGCTCTCTCCCTTTCCTTTGTATGAACTTACATTGCTCCATTTTTTTCTTTCTTAATGAAGTAATTGCATTTTATATGATGTTACTTATCTGTGCTCATGATAATTTTTCTCAGCTAGATTATAAATCTTCTGACAGTAAAGGTATTTTATTTAATTATGCCCATTGATATAAACTATTACATTAATAAAAGTTTGATAAATATTTGTTAAGATAATTATAAATTAATGTAATTTCCAACCGTGAACTATTTATTCCTAGGAAGCATGTCTTTAAAGGCTTACATGAATAGTAAGGGTGTGGGCAAACATGACTCATCAATTGGTTCAGTGAGTCCAAGTACTAAGACTATTGTGGGTCATATCAGATATCACAAGGAATTAATGAGAAAAAAGTAAAAAATGTAATTTCTGACATTAGAAGCTTACCATATAAAACAGGTATCTAAAAATTTAAACAACAGCCAAAAATAATAAACTCTTTTGAATTTACAACAAAAATGAAACAAACATGGGCTCCATTTTACCTTTATCTGGCCCTTCTCACATGGTTCACTGCATACAGATCTGATGATGGTGTTTTTCTTGGACCATACTTCGTCATCATCCATTTTTAATTCTCCATTGTCCCAGCTCCCAACATTGATATAATCAAAATAATCTTTTCCCATTTCCTTGAAATTCATTATTTCATACCTTAGGAATAAGAATATAATAATTATTCATCTAACAATATAAAATTTCAGCTATGAAAAACAATAGATTTCATTCCCAAACAATGCATCACTGTCATATCAGTGACACTAGAATTTTCTATGACAGTACACTAACAAAACACCTTTCTGTTTCACTTTGCCTTTGGAGACCATTTTTCTTTTAAAGTTCAAGTTTATACCTGACATAAAAAATAATCCCATATGAGAAGGTGACTTGACCTTAGCAGGATAAAAGACAAGTTTTGAAATAACTTCAGGAAGTTTAAACAAGTACTGCTGTTAGACTTCTAAAAAAGATGGAAAGGTATTTTGTTTTTATCTCCACTCAAGTAAAATAAAATTTTCCTTTTATAACCAAGTGAGAAATTTGTTAAATTTTTAATCTTGCCTCAGCTGTAGGGAATGTGGGGGTAATTTGGATTAGAGCCTGATTTTTAGCTTTCTTATTTTATCTCTTATCAATGACTAAATCCATTCTACAAAGACACCTACAGGAGTGATATTTAAAATGAGTCTTAAAATAGCTTCTAAAGCGCCTCATGCAATGTAAAAATCCTGGGATATACTAGCACCGTGTGAGTTCTCAGCCTTTATTAGCTGTTATTCTTATTTTGAGATAGAGATGTAAAGAGGAAAAATTGATGTGTGTGTTTAAATGGTTTTTCTTATATGTAAGAACATTACCAGAGAAGCATTTCAGAAATAATTTTGCAGTCTGAGGACACTGGATGAGTAATACCATCACTGTGTCTGTTCCTATAGACATACCTGTAGGGATGTCCTAGGTGCACAATGCTTTCACATAGCACCCTATAATTTTCCCTCCCAGGACTTATAGGATTGGCAGATGGGCTCTTATAAATGCCTCCTGCAACCTTTCATACTCAGCATATTTACTTATCTGGAAATTGACATGAATGGAAAGCTTTCTAGTTTTGGGGTTCAAGTTGCCAGATCACTATATTCAGACCTCTTCTCAGCACATAAATGCTAAGAACAAAAATGACATCAACCTGTGTTTGGAAGTACATTGTAAAATGATACCATTCTGTTTTCCTTCTCAATCACATTTTTTAAAACTGCAGTATCTTTTTCAGAATGTTAATTCATTCTTAAGTTTTGTTGGCTGTTCAGTGGCTTAAGGATTATTCTACAGTGTTTTGTTTGCAGTGGGTAACAATTTTGAGTAATTGTCTAAATTCTGTTCCTAAACCAACAGTATCAATCTGTAGTATACAAGACAGTGTCCTACACCTTTCCACTCTGCCAGCTATGTCAGGGCTAATAAGTGTACAATGAGCTGAGATATTAGAACACAGAAGAATGCGGGTGAAATGTACTCAGGTATTATGCCATTGGCTACTTCAAATACATTGAGCTTCTATGTCTTCAAAAGGTGACTTTGTGAGCAAGTAACTTTTGAATATTCTAGGTTGAAAGGAAGAAAGAAATATTGGTGTCAGAAGGCTTCTTTCTTTGCTGCTACCTATTTGAAGAGATATGAGGATTTCATTGTTCACCCCCAAATAAGCCATCATTCCCATTCTACCCCTTCTTAACTCTGTAAAGATCTAGTCCATCCAAACTGTTGATTTTACTGCTAACAAACTGAAGCTTGGTGAGGTAATGAGTATGACTAGATTGCAGAACATCTAACTTCAGGCTTTAGGCTCTATTATCAAGATCTATTCGGTAGAACTAAGAGATCAATTTTCCATTGTTTAAACATTGCAGAAATCTGAACTGCTCTACCTTTGAAGGCTCTTAGCACTCTATCCATGTCATTTTTGTTTTATATAGAATAAATGGTAAAAACTGAAGGGATCTAGATTTCAAAAAATAAACATGACAACTCTTTACGCCCCTTGTCTGCCACTTCTTTTACTGGTTACAATTTCAATAACTTTCTGAGTAGTTGTAACTTTCTCAAAATTAAAACAGGTCTCTTCATAAATAGTGAGGTTCTCCTTACCCAATGGTCTGAAGCAAGATTGTTGTCAGAGGAAGTGAAATGCATTTGGTGGAAGGCACTGTGGACAATACTGGACTTATATGACACCTAAGGGCCTCTCTGTCTATAATTTTAATGCTAAGATACTTAAATTTTTTTAAATTCTTAAATATGTGAAAAATCTTCTGTTAGTCAATATAATGGGCACTCCAAGTACTGATCCCTACAACAAAGCAATTATAATGATCTATGCCTTTGAGGTGGTATAATCACAGATTAAAGAGAGACCACAGAGTTAGTTTGACCAAAAACTTACTTAAATGGTAAAATAATGAAAACCTTTTTTATATTACATTAGAAATGGTTTTATATAAAAGTGAAAAAAATCTAAGATAAATTTTTATTTGATAATTCTACCAAAGGACTATATGCTGTAGTTTTTCTGTTAAGAATTGACTATATAACCTTGAGCATTCCTCTTCTTTCTCTGAAACTCAGCTTTCTCCCAGGGAAGTTAGGAAGTTGAAACAGATAATCTCTATGGATCTTTTGTGGACAGAACCACATAAGACTCGGTGTCAAACCCACTCAGTGCAGATTTCTAGAGTTCTACCCTTGTTTACTATTTATCACATCTATTTTTGTTCCTTGTTTCATTTCTTCTTTTGGAATCATTTTGGTTTTAGTATTCCTCTATTGGGTTTTTAGCTGTTCCTCTTGTATTAAAAATTTAGTGGGTGCTTAAGGGATTACAACATGCATCCTTAATTTATCTTATTTTCTACTTAAAGTTAATGTGCCACTTAATGTAAAATATGTATAAAAACCTGGCCCCTGTATAATTCTATGCCAATTTCTTTCATGTTATCAACTATTTTACATTCACTTATAAGCCCCATAATATAATGTTAAAATTTTTGCTTTAATGGTCATTGGTCTGACATTGACTCTGTTTCCTCTGTCCAATTATGGTCAGTCCTAGGCCATGTCAAAGTCTCTGAAACCTTAGTTTTCAATGAACTCTCTGTGCCAGATGTTGGAAAAATTTTACCGTAAAAGGACAGACAGTAGATATGTTAGGCTATGTGAAATTGTTTTTGTTGAAACTAATCAACTTTGCTAGTGTCATGTGAAAGCAGCCATGAACAGTATCTAAACAAATGAGTGTAAATGTGTTCCAATAAAACTTTGTTTACAAAGATGGCAGACTTGATTTGGCATGAGACCATAGTTTGCTCACCCATGATCTATATACCATTGATGGTAAATAGTAAAGGTTCATATTTCTTATCTAAAATTTTGAATTCCTTAAAGCTCTGAAAACCACAGTTTTTTCTTTTACAACTCACTTGACAGTGTAACATGACCCAATCTGAACTTACCTAGTGATAGGACCTGACCCACACAGTCATGGGAGCTATTTATAGTCTATTTATCACACTTCATGTGAATATTCATAGGTTTTCTTGCAGAAATATTAATGTGTTGATTAAGAAGTGCTGTTCCATGGAATGCTGGGGGCATTAGAGGACTCTATAGCCTTTTGTAAATTCAAACATTTTGAATTCTGTAACATACCCGGCACCAACGTGTTCATTAAAGAATTGTGAACTGATAAGAATCTAATTAAAAGTGAGGCTTAAAAACAATGATTCTAGTTTACTCTCCATCGATACACAAGTGTGTGTGCTTGAGTGAGCTGCTTCCTCTGTTTAGGCTCTTTCTCTGTGACTCTGGCACTTTAAGGGAACACTTGGTCACCCCAGGCTCCTCTGGTTCATTGCCCCATTTGGAATGTCTTTGATCCAGCAAAGCCACAACTTTTAATACACAGAAATAACAACAAAATGCCTACAGATACATTTCTCAGAAAATAATTGCTTTTTGATTGTGATCCTGGTTGATTGGCAGGAGGTGAAACCCAGCAGACTGGGTGAGAATCTTGACTACCATTTATTAGACTGTCTTTGGGAAAGTCATTTAGCCTTTGTGAGACTCAGTTCATAAGCCTTTATCTGGAAAAGAGAATAATATTACTTATCTCATAAGATTAAAATGTAGAGAATTTAGTTCAGTGTTTGACTCAGAACACACACTCAATAAATGTTACTTCTATTTATTTTGTAAATATAACTGGAAAAACAAAAAAGTTATAGACTACCTTTTTCTGAGACTGGCTCATGCCCTCAGAAGCCAATTCTGATAATTTATTAATGGGTTAATATAATACCCAACCTCAGTAATGCATAGAAAATCTCTACAAAACTATTAATTCACAGAAATTGTTTGTAAAATTTTATGTATATCGTCATTGAGAGAATATTTATAAATCTCTTAAAGAGATTCATATTCCCCAAAAAAGGTTACAAACAAATGTTGGAAATGTACCCCATTATAGCAATATTTGGAGGATTAGAAATGAGACAATGATGTTCCATGTCACTCATTAAGGTTTCCCATTGCAATAGAGCTGAGCCATTTCTACACTATCTGGATTGTGGAGCTGGCTTGGGTATGTGATATAAAAACTCTTTGAATTGGTGAAGCTGTAATCATCAAACTCTGTGCACAAGTCCCAAACTAATTTTAATACCATAGGGATGCATACAGGAATGATAAATCCATGTGTAGATATTGGAGCATAGGCCTTGACCTAAGCCCAAAAACTGAGTTAATTGATTCGCCTGCCCCAAGAAGCATTATAGCAAATGCCAAGTTTCTTTGACCCTGGGAAAATGCTTGTATCTCTCCTTTCCACCCTGCATCCTCTCCCACACCACACCCATTCCCCCCCACCCCCCGCCCACAATGTATATACTAAATAGCCCAAAGTTAGAAAACCACATATGAAAATCAGCTAGCAGCCTGCCTGGAGCAATACTTTTTACATCTCTAGAATAGAGAAAATATCCAGCTTTCCTCTTGGCTGCAGGACTTGACACTAGCTGTCACTTAGACGTCCAGCTTGTGAGATGATGAGAACAACATTGGAGACAAGCTCCAGCTTACCTCAGGAATACGGAAACAAGCTAAACCAAGGTGGCTGGTACAATGTGTAGGCACCTAGGTTGTGAGTCACGGTTAACTACAAACACTGTGTAAGGTCACTCACTCTCTGCAAGCACAACTGTCAAGTATAATCTATGGCTGGAAGAATACTTGGGATTTAACACTGAGAGACCAAAGGACTCTGATTGTTTTGGAGTAAGGCAGAGTGAAAATCCATCCCTGCTCCAACCCAGAATGTCATTTCAATGACACCATCTCTCATGGATTAAAAGTTCTATGTGCAGAGTCACTTAAGTATTTGGAGTGTAAAATAGATGTGAATTCTGATAAGTTCTAGATACTTAGTGACTTTCCCTGAAGACTGACCTATAATTATGAGTAAGTTCATATTTTCCAGGCTCCTCTCTATAAGTAATAAAAGGTGAAATTTCAGAGAAAAAAGGCAATTTAGTCTCTGAGAAAGAAGTACCCCATTTGGAGGATAATAAAATAAAATATGACTTAGATAACTCACTGTAGATACAGCATACAATATAGCTACACCTCATGCCTATTTCTGGATTAGCAGAGATTGAATCATTCCTGTTTCAGAATAGCTTTATGACCCAAGAAGAGATCAAAATACAGGGAATAACATGGCAAACATAATTTGCTTTTGATTATCTATGATAATGTGAGGCCCCTGTTTCCATGTTTAGATCTCTGAAATGTGGGGATGATTTTAAGACCATGTTTTGCACATCAGTATCAATACTTTTCCCTAGCCACAGGATAAAGGACTTTTCCTTTCTGTCTCTGTTCACTTTGTGATGTCAGAGCTAGTCAAACATGGCCAGGAGGCCAGGATAACCACAAAGGAGAGAAATAGATACCTCAGGATCAAAACTTGACTATTGTTCAGGATCTATTGTCTAGAGGAGAATTGTAATAATACCTTCCTGGAGAGTCTCCATTTTCATCAAATAGGATCATATCTCCGGAAACCCCAGTAAAATTGGTTTTCATCAGGGAGTCCAAAAGTTTCTGTCCATCAATAGGCTTCATTGCATCACAAAGGCCTGCATAGCCTGGGCAGAGGGACATCTGCATGTTGTGAAGCCCATAGGCCATGGAGTAGATTGCATTGATCACAAATCCCATTTTGGAATCTTGAACATGATGTGTTCTCAGAGTCAGAGAACCTGTTGAGAAACAAATAAGAAATTAATTTAGAGCTTTAATTCTACTATAGCAATGTCTATAATTCTGAATAATTAGAGAATGAAGTGGGGTGATATTATAGTTAGAACCAGAAGCAATTCTAAGACCCAGGTGCCAACATACTATGTCTAATAATTGTTTTCTATTTCCTGTATTTTTTCATCTCAAAATCTCAAAGGACCTGAATCCCCAACAGTACCAAGATTCACTTACCCCATTACCAGACTCTGGGAATAGATGCAGGATAGCACTGCATTTTTCCACCACAAAAGTCATTCTAAGGATGGATTAACCTCCCTTGAACTTAGTTGTGATAACATACCTCTGTGATTTAGAAATCCTCAACAAATCTCCAGTGTCCAAATTATTAAGTTTTTACTTAGCTGAGCTAACTAGATCCTCCACCATCTTGCCTCAACTTATCTATTTAGATTTATTACCTACCCCTTCCAACCTCAAAGCAAGCACATGCTCTCCATAAACTGGACTATTTGTAAATTATAAAATATAACATTTAAACTCCATTAATTCATTAATTAATTCAATAAACACTTATTGGAGTCTGAGTATACTTAACGCTCTGTGCTAGATAAGCTAGAGAAACTACAAAGATGAATTGAACATGGATCTGCACTTAGTAAGAAACTTGTTAAATAATAGAGATAAATAATATAGCTAAAGTAAAAGGTATAAGATGATAAATCTGTAATACACGTGGAGTAAAATCTATGGAGGTCCAAAGAGGGAGAGATCCTTTCCAATGAAGGGTTCTTAAAGAAAATAGCATTAAAGAATCAACATTCAGTATGGGTTATTAATTCAACAAATATGGAGTGGGTGCCTATTCCTTCTGACTGCTCAGAACTTGCTGGGATTAGGGACATAAAATTGAATGAGAGAGATATGATTCTTGTACTTAGAGTCTAGAGAGCAGGTGAGCATCTGGTTTGACAAGTGCTGAGGCGGGACTGAATCAGGAGGGACACCAGACCCAGAAGCTCACTGCCTCTAAGCATTATGGTTGAGTATCAGCTAGATGAACAGCAGGGGGGAAGAGTGTTCCAAGCATGTTTGAAGGTACACAGATGAGCTAGAGCACACTGTGTTTGGGAAATTTTAAGAAGATTGGAATGGCCAGAACATGGAATGGGAGGCAGGAGAATGGGGAGAACTGAAGTAGTAGAGGAAGACAGGATTGATTAAGTTTGTTGTACTTTATTATAAGAGCACGGGGATCCTTTATAGTGTTTAAACTAGGAAGGAACCTGATCAGATTTCTATTTTAAAAAGACAAATCTGGTTACTGTGTAGGGAAAGATTTAAAGGACTGTAGGAGTGGAGTCAGGAAGACCCATCAAGAGGCAATGCAACAATTCCAGTGACAGCTGAAAATGACCTTGAGTAGGGTAGAGGCCATGGTTATGGACAGGAGTGTTTAGGAGGCAGGATTTACTGCCAGGCCTGGTGACTGAAGAATGCAGAGAAATGAGACATCTAGGAAGAGCAAGGTAAAACAGTGAAAGGAACAGCCAAGGTAATGACAGAATTTATAATTGGGTGAAAAGTTTTCTTTAAGTGTGATAAAGAGAAACTTTCCAAAGATAGCATGGTTCTTGATGAGCTTTCGAACTGTAGCGATACATTGTCTCATTCTTGATTGCTGGCCTGAACCCCTAGCCGACCACTAGGAGAACCAGCATGGCTCATCCTGACACAAGTATAAGATGAGGAATCCTGTGTCCTTCTCAAGAATAGACCCTAGCCCCAGGCTACCCAGCGAATCTTCCAATTTCCGTCTCCACACGGAGTCTATTCATATTTCCACGTTTCCCCTCACTCTGCTGGGAACTCCTTTCCTCTCGGTGCTAAGTCAGATTTGTGGAGGCACTTTTGACTTCACAACTTCTCAACTCTTATTTGATCTCTTTTCAAAGTATATCCAGAATGAAACTATTTCATACTGATCTACTTCTGCCAGGTTCCAGATACATCATTTTCTGTCTGGATTACAGTGATAGTCTTTTCTACCTTTGTCCATGCTCCTTCTAATTAAACCGATTTTCAACAAACTTGCCAGAAAAACTCCATTAAAATATGGCAGATCATGACACTGCTCCAATCAAACTTACCAGTGGCTCCTTTATTACCAAAAGTAAAATTTAAGTCCTTGCCATGACCACGAAAGACGTACAGGGTTTGGGCACAGGGTGCTCCACCCTTACCCTTTGACTCCATTCCTGGTACTCTGCACTTAAATTATTCCTCTTTAGCCAGTCTGACCTCCTCCTGGCCACTCAGATATGCCAGGTGTGCTTCTGCCTCCAGGCCCTTGCACTTAACTTCCTTCTACCTGGAATGCTCTGCCTCAGAGACCTGCAGAGCCTATTCCCTCCCCAATTCAGGTCCTTCCTCAAATATTGTCCCCTCTGTGAGAACTGCTCTGGACATCTTGCCTAAGTTGAATTTCTATCTCACTCTTTTCATACTCTCCCTATCTCCTTTTCCAATATTATTTTTCTTCTTACCGCCATCTAAAATGCTATGTATCTTGTATCTCTGTCTTGTTTATTGTCTGCCTCATCCACCCACTGAAATGTAAACTCTATGAGGACAGGGATTTTTTTCCCGCTCTGTTCACTACTTAGTGCCTGGAACACTGTGTGGCACATAGTGGGCCCTCAACAAATACTTGTTGAGTGAATTAAAGAACTGTCCCCTCAAACTAGACTATTCATTCTATTTTCTTTTCCTCCCTGATCCTACCAACACTAATCCTACCCATTTTTAAAAGCTCCAAAAGCACTTCTTTCAGGAAGACCATCATGATTGCAGACATAAAATTAAGCTTGCCCCCCAAACTCTCTATTACTTTTCTCTACACCTCTCTCAGGCACCCTGTATACCATACTATAGCAATGTAGGCACACTTAGGAGAAGGAGAATTTGAAACATCCAGTCCCCAAGCCAATCCATTCCCTACCTTCCTCTGTTTAAATCCCTAGAGGCAGAGTTACTCACCTAATTGGTTCTATTTTCAGAAAACCTACTGAAAGTAGGTAATCTTTGAGGCCATCTAGGTGCTTGATCTTGAGCTTAAGCCATACCTACAGATCAGCTTCTAAACCCACTGTCAGGATTTTTGTCTCTATTAAACAGGTGGTAGTTTGATGCTCATTCTTTTATTTTTGTCTAATGAGCAGAATTGGGAGATCTTGGTTTAAATTTCTGCTTTATGTCTTCCTAGCTTTGTGACTTGGACTAGTTACTTAAATTCTCTAAGATTAAATTTAATCATCTGTTAAATGGCGACCTTTATCTTGCAAGGGTGATATGAGAATTATGTTGTAGGAAAGTCATAAGTACCTTGCACAGAGCCTGGCACAAGGTGGATCCTTGATAAATAGTAACTATATCAAAATTTAAATCATAATAACCTTAGGTTACTCTGTTTTGTGGTTGAGACTTTGGAGAATAAAAGCAAGTCAAAGGTCTCTTCTGATGTGGAGCTCAACAGAGCTCTCAGGCAGTCATCTTTCAGCCTCTCTTTCTGATTTTTCTTTATGCCTTAGTCTACAGTAGACAGTTCCTGGAACAAAGGCTAAATCTGAGCCTTATTCATTTGCAAATCAAAGCACAGTGCTTAGGGCATAGCTACTGTATTGTTTGTTGAATGGGTGCATGAATAAAAATTTACATTTGTTTGGCAGTTTCAAAATAATTTTTCTGTGTACCAATGATGTACACCCTAACATACCCAAACTGTAGAGATAAAGAAACTGAGGTGGAGGCAGGTTAAGTAGATTTCCCAAGGTCACATAGATAATAAAAATCAGAAGTAGACAAGAATTTCTAGTGCCAAGATTAGTGTCCTTTTTGCTCTATCACATTACTTTTCACTGAAAATTTGCACTCCCTGAACAATATACTGTATCACCTTATTAAAATATTTTAAATAAGAGATAAAATTGGAGACAAACAAACTGGTAACATGACTGGATCTGTTCCCTCAAGTAGTGCCCACCGGTGCTGCCATAGGCCTGGGCCGAGGAATATGTGGATGAAAAGGCCACAGGCTAACCTGACAAGCTCAAAGGAGGCCTGCATGACGGCCTTGCAAACTCAAAGACCTAAAGTAACCAAAAAGGATGGTCTGAGGTTTACATTTTTAAATTAAAAGCAGTTTGTGGCAGGTAGTCATATCCTAGGCCTGCATCTTTCCTGACAAAGGTCAATTTTCACCTTAATGAAACCTGTTGTCTACTTACATCTAAGATAACATAACTTTGGAATGTTGGGTAACTTCCTTTTTCCAGACCCCTCAGGGCACAACCAGTGCACCAGGGTGGAAACTACAAATCCCTTCACTGTTATTATCATGTTAACGGTTGACTGTTAGCTATCCTGCACCCACCTATGCAAAAGAAGCATGTGTCTATCATTTTACTTTTTATCCAATCCCAGATATTTCCCCACTTTGCTTTCTCCACCTCCCTAATCTATCACCAGTGGATTCCACTTAAGCCTTCTCTTTTGATTGTAATGTATAATTTAAGGTGCAAAACTGCCATTCTCTGAGCATTATCTCAATTTGTTGAGGTTTTGCTTCTTGGCATATGTCCACAGTTTGGCTCAAATAAACTCACAAAATTCTTCACAAGTTTTTATGTTTCTTATGTTGACAAATATACAGAAAGAGCTGACCAACAGCAAGAGTTTGAAAACCAAAGAACACACATATTTGTGCACAGTCTGTTGAATTGTTTGTTATTATGGAACATCTGGGAACAGATGGTCTATTTGGGGAACATTGGGGTCTTGTTAGAAGTTCCTGGTGGCTATTTTGCCTTGTAACCCAAAGATTCCAACCCCTCCAAAACAAATAAACAAACAAACAAGCAGACAGACAAACACAACTTGCTAGAAGAAACTAATGGAACTTTAGCCTTTGTAATTTCTCATTTCAATACATGCATTTCCAAAG